GCGTTTACATAATTTTTGATGTATAAAGAAGATCTCAATGCTTTGATTAGTCAACTATAGAGGAAACTTTCAGGTTTGGTTAGATTACGCAAATATATCCGAAGTTACAATAATATGATTATAGATTTACGTATTAGAAATTTTAACTAATAAGTTCAGTTCTGGTTCATGATTAGGTCTTTGTAAGTGCAAATATCTGCAAATTCTGCAAATATCTGGAAGTAGCTGCTCACGGCAGAGGGATTCTGTGCGAATAAGGAAGATTATATGAGAACTGGTTTCTATAGAAGCTTCATAATGGTTTGTGAACAAAATAAAAGTAAGCAAATGTATGTTAAATAAGATAATAAAAATAAATAAATGTTTTAGAAATAAGAACTTAAAAATTCAAAATGTATATATATATATTTTTAGTAAATTTTTAAATATTTTGATCATTAACAGATCCAAAACAACGGTCGTTAAGATAAAAACAAGCATTTTACACGTCTGAAAATTGTAACCAGCAAATGTATAAAATGATTGAAATTACATTAATTATACGAGTTTTATAATGCATGGTAAGATACGTGTTAATGATAGTTAGAATAATAAATAAAGGAAACTTCTGTTGCAGAACACCGAACACAATTCTTGGTGATAATTGTTCGAGGGGCTTAAATGTAAGTTTGTTACTGACAAAAAAGGGACTGATACTTCGAGTTTTTCCAAAATTTAAGTATATGCTCATGATGCAAGAAACTTGTAAAATAGTTTTAAAATTTATCGTGATGTACATGTCAATGAAATTGTGAATAAATATTAAATGAAGACTTACTGTTGTTTAAAACATTACGCATATTTGGGGACATCTCCTATAAAGGTTTATATATGGTAATTGATAAAGAATGAACTACAAACATAACCATTTTGCACAACAAAAACCACCATAATATTCGCCGTACTCAAATATATAACAAAAACTCTGAATATTCATAACACGTAACAGTTCTAAAGGCGTGTTCAAAATTACCTGTTCAAACTTTTGATATAATCGGAACATTAGCGCTGTTAAGTAATTTTTTTAAAAATGCGCGTGTTATTTAGGCATCATTTAAAAACAGGAACGTTATGCTCAGATGTAAAACAACTTGCTTTGTTTTTCATATTGTAAAAGCCTTGTTTGCAGACCACTTTTACAATATAAAAAGATTAATCATTATTTAAAACATTCAAAGAAAGGAAGACATAATTATAATAAAGGCAGAAATTAAAATATTAAAAATAGCACATTTATGATCTTTTACAATAAGAAAGAAATTTTACTAACGGCTGAAAGATATTTTTTATTCAATTATAGGAAGATATTTATTTCAGAAATATTTCATTTGGCATAATTTCAAGTTTTTTTAAAAAATGAAACGTTAAATATAGTTTTAAATTGTTTTATTACTTAATAAACAAACGATTTGTGTAGGTGTGAAACAGCCGCTAGCTTCTATCTTGAGTTGGAGTCCTTTGAAGTTAAGATAATACATTGAAAAAGAAAGCAGGTAAAGACTAATAGGTGACTTGCCCAGATATATATATATATATTTCATATATATAAAGAATTAAAAGAAAGGGACATATAAAGTTTTGAAGTAATCTAAACGAAATGAGGAAGGTTTTTATTTATTCATTTTTTATTTATTATTCTAGCATTTATATTAATTTATAAACATAAAAAAAAAACAAATAAAAATAATTAAGATGCAGAGTTGAAGAAAAGGGTTCGAGATAAATACAACTAAACAGAAAGAATTAATCTAAAAAAATAAGATAGATATATTCAAAAATGAACTGTCGAAATTATGAGGAAGAATTAACTTTGGTTTTAAAATAATATTCTTGAGCAATATATGACAGATATTGCCTGTTTCAATTTAGGAGTTACAGAAATGAAATCGCAGAATAATTCAATTATATTCTGCGAACTTATGGCGAGTGAAGAAACAAATATCGTACTAATAAAATAAATATTTCCTTATGATTTCCTTTTTTATTTCATTTATATTTATATATTTATTTATATTTCATTTTTAATTTCATGTATTTCTTTACAATGTTCGTTTAATATCATAAAATAGTGGGTCTAAATGTAATATGGGGATATATAATTTTATATGCGGCCCGCGGAGTTAGGATGCATTTCCAAAATGGCCCGCAAGATCATTTGGGATGGCCACTTCTGATCTAGAAGATAAAAATAAAGCATCAAATTATTAACCTACTAGGATGTGCAAAAATTAATCCCTTTTTAGTTTTCAGTAAAACATTGACAACTGCTCTCCCACCGTCTATTTATTTATTAGATATTACTGTTTTTCCAATTTCTATAACAATTGATTTCATTATTATACCTCCAGCTCTCTGATTTGTATAATCTCCTATGAAGTGTGTATAGTATTACATTGCTTTAATTTTTCTCCAATATCTTTGTTAACGTTTTTATATAATCTTCATTCCATATTTAATCCTTTTTAACTTTTAAAATTTTGAAAATCTGTTTCCCCATTGTTCAACTTCTGTTCCTCCAAAAGTGAATTTTGCAAAATTTTTCCGACCCCATCTTGAGCCGATTATTTTCACCCACATCACTCCCAAACTGTATAAGGGCAACTCAGCTCTAGGCACAGTGACTTGGTGTAGTGTGGTGTAGGAGTATAACATTGACAGATAAATAAACATTTAATTCAAGTACATATTATTTCATTCTCAATTCGGAAGATAACTTCCGAATCTATTACAATCAACTGCAAAACTAAAACAATTAAACAAAGAATACTAAAGTAATATTTACTTTAAAAGAGTTTAATTTAAAAGTGATGAAACAGCGATAACTTTAAAAAATCACCTTTGTATTGAAAATGAGGACTTCATTAATAATGAAAATGTGTACCATCGTTGAGTATTTGCTTTATCTGAATTTTTTAGAATTATAATATTTGTTGATTAATTGTTAGTTTTAAATAATAAATAGAGATGTTTGGATAGAGATGTACGATAATTCAAATTTGCTTAAAAATTAGTTTTAAAATACTTAAATCACTCTTGTAACTTCGGAATGGAGACAGAAATAAATCGTAATGTGTAGAATTCATGTTATGCAGATAGAAGATGAAATTAAAGTAGATTCTCTGAGTCATGAAAAAAAAATGTGAATATTTCTTGCAAACGAGATAAAGTTGTAACTATTCAAGAAGAACTCGCATTTACATTTGACACAAATAAATTAATATAAAGAAATCAAAATTATTATATTCATTGAATTAATATAGAAGTAACATAACTTACAAAAAAAAGTTCGTTTAAATAATCTCTCTTTTGTTAAATGATAATTCTGAAAAAAAAAAAATAAATTAAATTATTTATTTATCTACAACAATCTTAAAAAAAATTAAAAATTAAAAAAGATTTCATATAAACGATTATATTTTATTCCAACAAAAGTTTTTAAAGCAGCATGTTTTGAGTGAAATTTGTAGATTTTAACTTTTTTATATTTCTTTCTTTTTTAATATTTATTTATTATTAAGAAATATATGGGCCTGAATGGCCGAGTGGTTAGCGCTCTGGCGCTCGGTATAACAGGTTTTGAGTTCGTGTCCTGGCGGTACCATAAAAGTTTGTAGTGGTTCGGAATCCACTTTAAGCCGGTATCATATGACTGTTGGGCGTAGAGCAGGCTTTAGCAGATATTTATACTCATCGTGTAAAGTCGGCTAAAATAGAAACAATCGTCAGATTTCATTTGTATGTCACTGGATTTGAATACGTGTGGAGCCCTGTATGAAATTAATAACTATTGTGGTAGGATTGTTCCATTACATTATGACAGTAAAGGAGGTGATGCGTGTCAAACCTTGCCTTATATTCAGATATATCGCTATAAGGACTTAATGTGCTTTTTATCTACAGCAGAAGGACACTCTGTAATCAGAGATGTCCTTACGCCAAAGTAGGAGTAAACATATCACAGATAAAAGTGCTATAAACGCTGCGATGATCCAACCTGTGTGAAAGGCCTATTTCTAACAATTCTCCAATTAAGTGTGAGAAGCAAATTTAAAGAATAAGATTACTTTTGTAAGAAAATATGAATATTTCTATAGCTTACATGCCTAATAATTAATTTAATTTAACTCTAAAGTTAATAGCCCTATATTGTCATCATCAATATTAAATAAAGACTTAAAAATTGCATGCATTTTCGCTAATATTGAAACTGCTTGCAGGTACTGGAATCTGCATGTCTAATAATTAATTTAGCTGTTAATAGCCCTATTAGGTCTAATCATAAATGGGAAATAAGGATTCAAGAATTGTATCATTTTTGGTATTATTGAAACTGGAAAGTTTAGTTGAAAGGCGATTTCAAAATTCAACACTGACCTATCACTAATAAATTGGATTCTTTAAAAATATATATCATATGCAATTGCCATTTTTTGCTTTTTTAATACTTATATTATTTATTTATAAAAGGTTCGAGAGATATCTTCTGAGCTGAGAACTGAACAAAATTTAGAAGACTAGTCTATTATTTAGTGAATTTTGAGTATGAATTATTTTTGTAATCCGTTAAGTAAGGTCTCTAGATGGCGCTGGTTTCTGGCAACTAGCGTACCGATTACGGAGTACCGACAGTTGGAAATACCCCTTAAACCTCCTCATCTTAAATCATATATATGATTATAATTATAGTTGGCTGCTTAATTAATGTTAGTAAAATTACCAGATCAAGTTTCAAAAATTCAGTTAAAGTGGTACTAAAAAAAAGTAATAATAAATAAAATTAAAATGCAAAATAAAAGAATTTAAAGTTAAGTTTAAATTCGGTCCAATTAGGGACCAGTTGTCGATGATATTAAACTATTGTAAAAATGTAAACAAAAACTTAGAATAATGTAAACAACACTGAAATGTTTGAAAAAAAGTCCTCTTGAATTATTCAGCAATTGTTGCTAATGAGAACTAAAAGCCACCACTGAGAATTGAACTCACGACCACTGGTTTACAAGACCAGGGCTCTAACCGCTAAGCTATAGTGGCTCTCTGCCGGTTTGTGTTTGTTCTGTCAGAAAATAATCTGAGTATTCTGATTGCATTTTGTCATCTACATTAGGAGAATATTCATTCGGATGATTACGGACAAAAGGTCACAGTTGCGAGATGATCGCTAACCTTAACTTTGTGATAGTGTTGTGTACAAGGTTTGGTACAGGGGACGATGTTAAGCTGACATCCATGGCGATATACCTGTAGACACTTTCACACCATGACAGAAACAAGAAGCTGGACTTCCATGTTCTTCTCATTGAAAAAAAAACAACTTTGAATCTAGTAATTAATTTTGTATATCTGTCTGGAATTTTTTTAGCATGTTTTGTTATTTTTCTACGTTTTAGCAAACTTACATTTTTATACAGGATTAATAAATAAAAGACCTACTAATTTGTACGAATTACTATAATTTATAGAGGAAGTTCGTATTTGAACTTGAGTTTATGTATTGTTTATCTCTAATTTTACCCAAGAATTTTTTTATACACATTTCATTAATAATTCATACACTAATAATAATAAAATGTAAATTAACTAAAAATTTCGCTAGAATTTCTTTGATCCGCTCGAAAGATAAGAAAAATTGTCTCATTTTCTTCTGATTTCTAAGTTTTCATTACAGTTATAATCTGCCACCGAATTCACCTTTTTTTAACAAGAACTATCCGCCTCCTATTTACATTCTCCTTTTTTAACTTTTTTTAGCTTGATGTCGAATTGTCTTATGTTCTGGGGCCGGAACGGAAGACAATTGGTTAAAGACATCAGGCTACAAAAGCTAAAATCTTAATGAAATAAAAACTCTGCTGTAGCATATTTCTAGCCTGTACACATTTAACATGGGGAGTGTATGGATTCAACTACATTGGTGAAGGTCATTATAGTTACTGATTTTGGAAACGAGGCAATCCGCGGTAATAAACTTTCATAAAATATCTGGCATCGATAATCTATTTTGTATTACGAGAGTTTCTCGGTTTATTGACTCCATAAAAACAAACGAACTCCTGGCGGTTACTCTCAAATTCTCCTCCCAAGACTATGTCCGCACATCATCACATGTCGTAGAGCAGTTTGTGGCATACACAGAGCCGGAGTTTCCTGTAGGCTAACTAGACTTCAGCCTAGGGCCTCATGATCAAGAGGGTCTACATTCAAATTGTTAGCAAAATTAGAATTACACTGTTCTAAAAACAATAAACAATGAATCGAAAATAAGGAGAAATTATGTATTAAATTTATCTGCTTTGAATTTGCTTTAATCTTCAATGCATTGAATATATACAATTTAATTTGATAGAAAATAGAATAATTTTTATTGCGTATTTTATTTTCTTGTCTGTTATATTTGATTAGCTATTCTTACAAGTGCTATATAGGGTTCTAAAAATAAATGTCCAAATAAGTGTTCTAAAAAGTTGGCATAAGTGCATTGTGTCCAGAAGGGATTATTTGAAGGTGAAGAAATAAATTTGGAAGAAAAAAAGTTGTACGACTTCACATGCGCTAGTAAGGACATAAATTATCACCTGTTATCACTTTACGTTATGACTGGTAAACAATACAAACAAGCACTTTTTTCTTAATCTCAGTTCAGAAATAATTTCCGAACTTCCAAAAGACGTTAAAACTCATTGATAATGAAATCATAACCCTTTCAATCTATACAGTTATGTATAAAGAAGAAAATAGACAGACTGTTAAAACACACTTACTAACTCCTTCCAACTGATAAAACGTAATAAACGTGATACTTGTTTCATCACCCATCCCAATGGACTTGCCCCGTGCAGTTTTTACAGCAAATTTCCGACTCTCAACAGGAAATAATTTTCTTAATAAACACTTGTACCGCACTGGTGTAGCTACTTGTGAGGTCTGTCTTCTGTGCTTGTCAGATGAAGCCATGGACTTTTTACATTCGACAACATGCACTGCACCTGATTTTATAACTTTTAATTCTGACAATTTTACCAAGGCTAATTTTTATTGGACTGCTAGAGTTCTTATGGTGGATATCGCTACAGTTTGATGTAGGGAAAAAATGGAGTTGTCATGGTCTAGATTATATTTAGTACAAGTACCATACTGATAGCTAATTCGGTTCATACAAAATTTGCGGTTTTGATAGAATTTTTAATACAAAATTATTTTTGTAGATTAATTTTTTGAACTCTATGCAATTGATTATAATTATTATCTAAGCAATAGTTTATAATTGTAGCATGATTGTGTAATTACATAATGCCAGTAGAGGAGGTTGTTATGTGTCCACACTTTTCCTTGCTATGTGTGTCACTTGTTGCCATAAGAACCTCTATGTGCTTTTTGTCTGCAGAAGAACGGCACTTTATGATAAGAGAGAGATAAGTCCCTTGTCCTCATAAGAAGATTAATAATATTGTAATAAGAAAGCAATAAATACTGAACAAATAAACAGAACTTATTTTTCATGTAATAAAATCTTTATTTTGAGATTAAATTATTCTTCAAATAATGTTATTGTTAGAAGAAATTAAAGAATATATCGTGATGCACTTCCGCAGTCCACAAATTAAACATGTGATGAGATTTTGACAGTTATGGTGCTGAATTTAAAATATATTTTCACAAAGCAATAAAAAACATGACTACATTACAAGAAAAAAAGGTTGGTAACAGCATTCATTTTTATAATTAATTATTGTTTTTTATTTAAAACTGCATATTCGACTTCAAATTTTCCTTTTTTCCATTTCACATTTGCAAACAATACTAATACAAAATTGAATATACTTTAGTATCACAATAAACACATTTATTTCAAAAAACAATTAATTAACAAAACCTTTTTGGAAAAATAAAAGGCAAAAAATTTTAAATCAAACAAAGGTAAAGTAAATTATAGTAGAATTCTTTATCTCGCACATTATAATTAAATTAGATTACAGGTTGTATTTTATGAAATATTAGTTATAGTATTTCTAAGAATTTAAACATGTTTATGGGAATATTTCTTTATCAATATAATATATTTTCGGTTAACAATAAAAAAAATCTATTCAGGCATAAATAACAGCAAGTTTAATAAATAAACACACACACATATTAATTTACAGCAAAAATAAAGAATACAATGTTAACCTATGGACACAATTAAAATTATATACATTAGTATTTTTAGGAAGTCCCTTAATGACCGCCTTAATAGGCCTTTCATTTTTGGGAGTAATGATGAAATAATCCATTTTGTTTTTATTGAGAAAAGCTGTAATATGTCTATGCTCATCTGAGTCTGTGGGAAAGATTTTTAACAGTTCTCCGGAAAGGGTGATTTTTGTATCCAGGAAAGAATCATTGATAAGTTTTAATTGCTTTTTCAGGTCGTCCTTTTGTCGCACCATAACAGGTGGAATTTTAGTAATAATAGGGGTGATATTATCGTCATCAGGAGGAATATTCTGCAGTTTGGAAAATTTATTTTGAGAAATAGGTATGGTAGTGGAATTAAGAATAACAGGTTTCGCCGTGGTCCTTTTGGTTGGATACTGAAATCCGTCGTTAACGCAATCACTTGCCCGTTTTGAGCTGCTTAGATTTTTAGAATTTAAATTAATATTACTAGTGAAATTACCATAATGGATGTTGCAATTTAATACTGGGCAAGAACCTAAGAGTCTTACCTGGTATAAATAACAGCAAGTTTAATAAATAAACACACACACATATTATTTTACCACCAAAATAACGAATAAAATTATATACATAGGTAACCCTTCTGAATATTGTACCTCTCAGGAAGATAACAACCATATTCACTGAAGTAAATAATCATGATTTGATGAAAATAATGATAAAGTTGCTCTTCTTCCATGTCCTACACAATGATTAGATATATAGTTAATTGAGAGTTTTGTTAATAAGAAAAGAGAAACTAAAATGTTTCTATAATGCTTTCCTCTTGCATTCCTAGTAGGGAAAAACAAAATCATCTGGGACCTTATGCAATTTTGAAGATAGTAATAATCCTATAGCATAACTGGCAACCTTCTTCCAAGTTTTTGAACTGACCTTGCTGTTCAATGCGAATAATATTTAAAATTTTGTAATGAAGCTGCTCTGCATAATAATGAGGTTTAATGAAAATAATAATGAAGATGCTCTGCCACCATGTCCTACCAGGTATGTGCTTTATTAAGACAGTTTTATCAATAAAAAAATTGAAATTGAAAACTTTTTCTGGGAAGAATAGCTATATATTCAATGCGTTTTCTACTTGTATTCCCAGTAGGTGAGAAAAAAAAACATTGTGAAAATTTGTTGAATACATAATTCTTCCAAGTTTTGGAACTCACCCTGTTGTTCTATGCAAAAAATATTTAAAATTTAACAGTTAAATTATATTTATTAATCTCAACACATGTGCTCATGAAATGTAATTGTAAGCTTTAAAAGAGCATGTTTACCAAAAGCAAATGTGAAAGAAAGGATTAAACTGAAGAATAACGATTGTAAATAATGCAATTGTATTCATTTTAGTGATAATAACTAATAGTTCAAATTAGTTTGTCATGTTTTTAAATCTCTTAATTAACTATATTTCGTTGATGCCTTTATTAAATAATTAGTTTTGTTATAAGATATTTCTGTAATAGAATTTAAAAAAATTTACTTATATTTTACAGTGGCTTACAGTATAGATAATTTGCTAGTTCTTTACTGTTTACTTCATAATAAAGTCAACCACAAATTCTGTAAAAAGCCACTATCTTCTAAAGATAAACTTTTATTTATTTTTCATTAAAATAAAAATAATAGAAAAGAAATTATTTCCTCCCTATATCAGCAAACAAAACTTACAGAAATATTTTTCTGGCATTATTATTTCGAGGATAAAAACAATAAATGAGACAATCCAACCAAGACACAAAAACAAAAAAATTCCAAAAAAATCCGAGACAAAAA